ACGACATTGGTTGAACAACAAAATAAATTCTCGGATTCAGACCAACAAAATACCTAGCGAAGATAACATGCTTTTGATTACTCGACTGCAACTTGACTTGTTCTGTCTTCGTATTTTATTCTATCATGGTTGTCGCACACACTTTTTCGACTTATGGTATTAAAAATGTTATCGTATTGCACGACCATATCGTGCGTACATGATAGCCTAACTCCCTGTAATGCGTTATCATGCAGACCACTTAGACGCGGTTTCTAAATATACGGGTGCTTGTTCGTTTTTTGATGTATTCTTTTTTCAATTCAATGTATGTGTATAAATGGGGAACGCCAGGTTATCTCGAAACCAACAAAAAACATGCTGTGACCCTTGAGGTCGCCCTCTTGCGATACAGGTAATGCGGCAATGATGAACATGCTTAAGTTAGCGAGATTATTATTTGTGTTGAAAATTACGATTTTCACATTTATTTTTTAATTGATGAAATGCAATATAAACTTTCATATGATAAAGTCAACATAACATAGAATGTCATGTAAGTTGGATAAAATGTAGATTTTACTTGAAAGCGTTTTCCAGAACCAATTTAAATATAATTATAGAAAGCCACATTATATTAAGTCGTACAATATTATGTGCATTCTTCACTGAATGTGGTGCATTCACCATGTTATGTAGTACATTCTATGAAGGATTTCAAATTGGCCACTCTCCTTTGAATAGTCAATATTTCGTGATATTTTCCCCACAATCATGTGTTGTTATTTAAGTATAGTGACACACTTAATAGAGACACATCAACCACCCATGTGTGAGATAATTTGCCATGTTAAATTTGGGTGTGTTAAACATTTACAATAATATGAAATATTGGGTTGTGTAAAACAATCTATTAGGCTGAGAATGATTATATAGTAATGTATATAATAAACATCTATGACTAAATCTGACTTTGCATACGATGCTAATAACTACAGTGACATGCACCTGCTCGTTTACAACCTCGCCTTGCCGATAACAATTTTACTGTATGCAGCACCATCCAAGGGGGAATAAGTTTTGTTTTCAAAATCGTAAAAATAAAGTTTCTGTTTGATTTTCTCCGGATGGAATCCCTCACGAACCAGGTCAATTTTTCTGTATTTAAACGTAACCGTTTTGTCTATGTTTTTCATGATTCGGAGAAATTTGGGGCAGGCGTACAAAGGCAAGGATGATGTGATGTAGTTGTGAAATTCTTGCATGCTGAATGTACTTTCGTCTTTCACAACTATAGCGGCCATCCCAGCTCGCCCGTCTTGTCCTGGAAAACAATCGATGCATATAGGTGATTAAAAAATAAAGCTTGTTCACAAGTCTTGCGCCCACTATATGTAAGCAATAACATTCAAATAAACAATGTGCTCGCTTCTCACAACAGTTGTTAACAGCCAAACACAAATCAAACCAAAATGTTGTTTGAAATCACCTATATTTGGATGTTTTTATTTCGAATATTCGGAAATGTTTTGTAATGATATTAGAAACAATGCTGGAATTGTCCAACTATGCAATTGGCCAGCTAGTATTGAAACCTACAATTCCTGTTAACCAACATAAAGTAATTATTATATTGCACCTAATATAACCAGATTGTCAGGGGCACGTCTGTTTCCGCATCTAATTAATGACACTTGTCCCTCGGCATAGAAGTATATTTATGTTACTACTTGGATATATTCGCAGACCAAATATGGTCAACAATAAAAACACATAAAAAAAGAAAATACTACAACAACATATGCAACAAAGCACTCACCGGGGACTTTCACACCATACACATTGGCTTCTGCAATGCCAGGAAACATAGATACAATGTCAGATACCTCGGTAGTAGCAACATTCTCACCTTTCCATCTAGAACAGAAAAATATCGTTAAAGGGCGTTGGTCCTCGCGCTGCGCATGTGCGATATTTGAGTTGATTTTCCCACAATCCAATGCGCTTTTCTAATGGGAATCATGAAAGTATGAGGTTTGACCTGGGCGCGACTTGCACTAATTACCGCCGGTGACTCATTCGATACCTTCCAATCATCTAAAATAATACGTAATTAAATCTTTGTAACGTCTCATTGCGAGGTTTTGCATATATACGTTTCTAAAACCCTTTCCAGTTAGTTATTTGTATAAAATTAAATATTCGTCAGCAAGAATACGCACATAATAACAGATGGATTACTGTTTTTTCATATCTTGGTTGTGTTTGTCGTACTCCCCGAGTCACTGAATACTATCCAGATGGCTACGATACATTGAATAATCAGGCCTTCGTACACGCAGATTGAAAATAAACATTGGGTACCTGAAGGTATCACCAAGTCGGTCCACAAAATACAAATAATAGTTCTTGTCCAGCATCATGACGTCACCAGTGTTGAAATAAGCGTCGCCGTCTACGAATGCATTCCTAATAATCTTCTTTTCAGTCAAGTCTTTATTACCAGCATATCCTTCGAATCGTGCGGTCTCAGTGATGAGCTTTATAAGTAGACCAGCAGTACCTTGTTGTAGCACACACATACCGACATTAAACACATGATTACTTGCGATCGAGGGGTGGGAAGTAAATGAATGATTCAAATGGGCGTGCACAGTACAATGTTACTATGGTTATTATTAAATTCAGGAGTCCAGAGTCAAAAGTAAAAACAGAACCTAATTCAATATCAGCAAATTTTGCGCACATAAAACATGGTGGAAATACACGATCTTTTTAGAGATCAAACAAAATCGACCTTCTCAACCTTCAACTATTTACGTCTGATAGATGATCATAAAAAGTGGCAGTTCTCACCTAGTTTTGTGGGCATGCATCTACCCTTGGAATCCCGAACTGGTTCTGCTGTTTCATAATCGAACTTGACCACATGAAACCCAGTGAGGTACTGATAGTATAATGAACAATCAGTGTTAACTGAGAAAAAAAAACCCATTCGGTAAGCATAGCTAACGATTTACTCGCAGAGAGTCTGTAAACATACCTTGATTAGAGGAGAAAGACGACCAACAGCCCCAACTGTATTGTCCGTGTTAGCAGAATAGAAGTTTCCTTCTGTAGCTCCGTAGAACTCGTGTATAAGAGGAATGTTGAATCGCTGCTGAAAACGTTTCCATATGTCTGGCCTGAGTCCGTTTCCTATGGCAACTCTAACAGAATTTCGTTTGTCGTCAGGATGCTGGAAAGAATAAAGGCATATTACCACGTTGACAATTGGAAAAGAAATACTATGCACTAAACAAGTTTGGAATTATATAAATAATGAAAATGAACAATGCGTATGTATTCAGAGGTAACAAAAATTATGCGATCCAAGAGAACAAACTTTGTGTCCATGCACTTATCATTTTTGCTGTTGCATATTCGGTATTAGCGTGTATAACACGAATGAACGCAATCACCTCAGGTAGACTGAGAAGGTACCGACAAATTTCGCCAATGTAGAATATAATAGTGATACCATGGCGACGACAGTCATCCCAGAATTTATGGATTGAAAACTTTCTTGCAAGGACCATGGTGGATGCTGTCGAAAAATAAAAGAATATAACATTGGATGAAAGAAAAGTGAAATGATATGTGAACCAGATGAAGTACAGTCTTAACAACGTGAGTGGTGATTGCAATACACTTATTACAACCACACACCAGTACCGTTGTGTGAATTTGAATTATTTGGCTGAAATGAAAGCCGTATTAAATTGAGACTTCAAAACCACCAGCCTTTTGATAAAATAAATAGAAAAACAATTATGCGTTGTGATTTAGACATGCAAAGGTATCAGCGGTAACCGAAGTGCTGAAAAATAAAAATAATAAAAAAATATGCGAATAAAACTGTTATGATGCTTCTACTTATCATTCTTGAAGAATAGTAGTAGTAGTAGTATTGTTCATTAAAGTGAAAATAAAAATCTGTCACCCAGCCCAATGGGCTTACAAGTAACTGGAGTCATGTATATGTACTCACATATAGAAGGTGTATGTCAAATAAAGATATTGTATGTATTATTTCTTGTAAAATATAATATCTACTAATGTACTACACAAACAGGTTATCTCGTCTCTTCTGAAATGATCTTGTAATATATTTTGCTATCGCTCTAACATGGTTCACCATAAAGTAACTTATTTTTTCTGTATCAGTTAACAAATTAAATTAGTTTCTGGAAATACTAAATTCATTAAATAGCTGCTCACATAATTCTGTGTATAATGGACAATACAGTAAGAAGTGTATTTCATCCACTGTTACATTTAAAGAACATAATTTACAAATGCGTCTGTCTACGGTTTCATGACTATTACGCTATTTAATAATAGGGTACATGACCCGTTATGGGAACAAATCTTTGGTACGCGGGTTAAATTCATACAACTGGAAATCTGTAATATTTCACAATTCAAGAAGTTTTGAGTCTCACTCACCGGATCGTACCACGGATCCAAAACTCAGCAAGGACGCCGACGAATGATACAGCGGCATGCAAATGTACGTACAGTCGTTTGAATTGACTCCAAGGGTATGAAATGTGAACGTTCCCCTCATTTGACGAAAATATGAAATCCGCGCTGCTTTAGGGTGGCCTACAAATACAAGGAGATTGGTGACGTTTATTGCACTGTACAGTCCCAATACACAACTTCTAGCAATCACCCCTCTATCGACAAAACGCTTCTGTTACGTTAACTGGGCGTAAGGGGCATCGTTCACCACGTCGATATTATTTTGATCTGTGATTGCCCTCAATAAAAAGAAATAAGTTTTTCACACACATCTACGTCATTTTGACGTCACAGAAGCGGTTTTCCGGTAAATTGTCAACTTACCCGTGGTGCCAGAAGTAAAACTGTATATTGATACATCACTGTACAATATAGCACTTCGTACTTCCCTCGGTATGGCCTGATCTGATATGTTTGCCAAGTCATCATCTATATTCCGGAATTTTGTTTTCGCATTGCAACCTGTTGTCCATATTCCAATATTTCGTTGTTCTAGCTCCCCGGCGATATTTTCAACTGTTGAAAGGAGCCTGGGGTCTAATAAGATCGAATAAAAAGTGATAATAAATTAATCTATAGAACATTTGTTGTGTGATACCCACAGAGAATAACTCGCATGCTCTAATATTTGTTCGATTAAACTACGGAAATGTTCGGGCATGACATGATATTGTTGGCGTGTAATTAAAATGCAATACGTATAGATCCTAAAGGTCTTATGTCTTGATACTTTCTGAATGTAGTGTTTAGTGTTGATCAATGACAGCAATAATTTCAAATTTTATATGCCATTTTTATTTAAAAAACAACAAAATGGGAAGACAAGATATGTGACATTTTAGGCAGCAAAAGACATGTTACCGCATAATAATAATAATAATAATAATAATAATGATATAACAAACTAACAAATCGCAATATCAGCATTCCACCCCTACTGATTTACAAATTATAGTCAAGTCATGCATATAGTCTACTAAATGCAAATTTACATCACGTGACTTGACACAATGTGATGTACATACATAACCGCATTATCGACAAAGTTGATTTTCGAGCGAGACGTACTACTTATTGGGTCAAAGTTCAACTGTCATATATATTTACTGTAACCTCGTTAATTCACTTTTATAATGAATGCATTCATGTCCCCCGCTCATTCATATCCAGTGAACAATAACTATAATAAACTAACAGTATGCCACAAAAAAAGTTCAGTAGATCGAGGTTACAGTATTTCTGTTTAAAATGTATATTTGCGTAATAATAGAAAAAGAAAGAAAGATACGACTTACAACACACGACACACGTGAGGAGATCCTTCAAGTAGCACGTTCCTTTTCAACACATTGCTAGGTAATTATATACCGTAAACAATGTACTTAGTGAGCCTTAAGCAAATATAAAACCAGATTGAAATATATATATATTCACACTTCGTCTTTTCACCCTACCATTGAATGTACAAGATTATTTATAGTATACATGCGTTAATATCCAGGTCAATCTACGGTAAGACAACTCTCCCCGTGCCAACTCTGAACTTTGACCCACTTGTAAGCTTACATTACAACATGTTGAATAATACTGCCATAATATGAATAGCCTAGATCTGTTGAAACTTACCATCTGCTAGCATGAGTATTTTAGCATCAGTGACATCAAGACAGTTTATCAACGATTCCGCTCGCAGATTATAATTTATAAAAGCACATTTCATACCAAGCTTGGCGAAACCCAGGTAACTCCAAATATAAGTCGGTTCGTTGTACATTAATATGGCCGCACAGTCACCAACCTTAAATCCTTGTCCTCGGGCGAAATTAGCGAGTTTGTTGGCCATTGTGTTAATGTCACCATATGTATAGATAGTATTTTCGTAAATGATGAAAGTCTTGTATGGGTCTTGTTCAACGGCATCCTCGAACAGGTCCACAAAATAACGATTTTTATCCAGGTTTGCCTTGACAAATTTAGCAAACGCTCGTCCGCTTCGAATAGCGTTGTAATCCCGTTCCAAATATGGATACAGGAATCTCACGAGACCGGCGGCTGCCGCAGCACCGGTTGCGACTTTCAGTCTTTTGTCAATAGCACCAGGAGAAGTCATTTTGGGGGTACTCTATCCAAGCGCCGGAGTACGAGGTTTAGTCATCAAAAATAAATTACACTGACTGTCGGACACCTTACAATAGCTCTGATGACGTTTAAAGGTCAACACTGTACTGGTAAGCCATTCAAGCTGCCCATTGTCTGCACACTAGTGGCAGCCGTAATCATTGTCGATTGAATAGTCTATTCCTGGGGGATCATAATGTCGCGTGAATTCACGCGATACGTGAGACGAGAAAGTTATAAACTAATATAAACATATTTTTTATGGATTGAAACGGTATATACTCGTTTTAATTCACGCGGGCACATTGGTCAGATTGATAGTGGGAATTTTAGAATCCTACTTATTAAATTTCTGAGCACTTATTTCTAATTGTTGTCATACGCAAATTAGGTAATTAACATATAACATGTTTAAATGTAGTTAATATTTTTTTTCAATTTTGATGTTGCCTTGCAACAAAACTAACGTAAAATATTCGATGTTGGTACTACAATCAAGAATAATTTGCGTATCCTTTGAATAATTATAGTATTAGTGATTCTAGTTGTTACCATGGTAACTAAATAGTATTAGGATGATAACTAGATTATTTTCAGTCACGGTTGACTGCAATGTTTATGGCAATATAAAACTATTGTTCAGTATGTAACGATGTTTTCGCTAAGACATCAAACAACAAAGTGTACCATATACACTTGGTCATTAATATTTACAGTTCACCTATGAACATTTCTTTCACTCCCAGTAAAAATAACAAGAAACATTTTGTTTACCAAAAACGGTATTAGATTTAAAAAAATAGATATGTTCAGGGTGAATGTGCTGTGAATGTATACAAGGGAATATATATTGCGCTTACTGTAAAATAGATTTTTAAAATACGTGAATATATCCGATTAGAATCTCCGTCGATATAGGTGTTTTGAAAATAGATAGTTACATCCAATATTAATACAATATGTGGAGATATTACATTTTCATACTATTCATGCGACGAATCACCCAGAAATTAAAATAAACATATACAATCATATCTTCAGTTGTGAACTGAACGCTGTGAACAAATTATCGATACATTTGATGTCTTTGATAAATCGGGGCTAATGCTTATTAAAACGCAATCTGATTAAAATAAGATCCTAGTTTGGGCTTTTATTTATTTATTTATTTATTTATTTATTTATTTATTTATTTTTTGGTTAATATAATATCATTTATATTTTTGGAAATTGATATTCACACTCATGACTTCGGGTGTCTGCTCCGCGAAAAAGTAATCATCGATTAAAACATCGATTGTATTCGGTATATTGGGGATAATGCTTATTCATGTGACGCATGACCCGGGGATTAATATTCCTATTCACGACTTTGGGTTTTGGGATGAACACATCTCTCATATATTCAAACGTCGGACTGTTGAGGTAGGTTTTAAATAATACGTGGATATAAGCCTATACATTCTCGCGAGAAGAGCGAAACAGAGTTACGGTTTAATGGGAGTATATTGTCAAAGTCGAAAATCTTTGAGTTTATTTTTTCATTCTCGATTAGAACTCAACATTTGTCAAACCGGGCAAGGAAAGCTTAACACCAGCATAACCACACACAAATGCATGATATAAAATGTTTTGTTCCCGGGGAGTTGTCTGCTCTTCCAAAGTAGGGCATTTATCGATGTTTATTATTTACCTTCACCTAGTTTCCTAGATGAATACACAATTGTGAAAATGTCTCACAACTTTAAACCTAACGAGAGGTAAAAAAGCATATGTATATACATTTTTAACGACGCCAGTTAATCTACATTTGGCCGCATAATATTTGCTTGTGTATGATTTGTGTCAATGTGTAACATTTGTTTATACTATTCATGCTAAATTCACCTTAAATTTGAGAATTGCAGTGCTTTTATTTTATTCTGTAGCTTTATATCCCATGCAGCTAACACCAGTTCTTTCTGTGCTATTATTATTAGTCTAGGTACACTGTGTAATTTTAACCTATTATTACTGTCTTCGAATTTTGTCATTAACTCACTTTTAGCCAATTGTCCTTCCTTCTCTATTATATTCGTTTTGATTTGGGTACATACCATATATTGTATAGAAATTTATCAGATTTTGCATATTTGCAGCTTGTAATTTTCAGCATAGTGGTATTCTGAATTCTAGTAATTCTTGTCACGTTAACTTGCTTTATTTTCAGGACATTGTACTGTTTGTAGTTATATTGGAGATTTTCTTGTTTAGTATTTACACACATTAATATTATCTCTCCTGACTGTAGGGTAGTTAGTGTTGCAGTTGTAGTTATCTGGGCTGCCTTATATGTTGGATTTTATTTCTTGGTATTAGTGCTATTACTACTGATTCTAAATTTATTTTATACTTACCATCTCTTGAGTCTGGGAGTGGATCAACTACTGTGAGTATGCAAGCACTGTACACTTTTTTCTAAAATTCTATTTTGTGCTAGGCGACAGTCCTGGACATTGACTGTCTCTCTTGACTTTGTTGTATGTGCAAATTGCAAGTGCTAGTGCTGACACACAGTACACACAGAAGCCAAATTCATATTAGGGACTACATGACAGGGCTATACAGCCATTTCTCTATAAAATGCAATTTAATGCGCTGTAATGTTGCTCAAAGGGGAATTTCGGGGATTGATCGCTTCTGCAGTGGTGTTTGGCCTAAGGTAGTATTTTATCTTGGGTCTACCGATCATGAGTCTAATGCAACAACCACTATGCTACCAGTGACCGGCAAGTACCATACACTCCACATGGAGCCAGTTCGAAGGTAAACATTAATCAACCTCACCCAGGTGCACCCGTGAGCTGGGATTAGACCGTCGTGAGACAGGTTAGTTTTACCCTACCCAGCTTCAAACTGTTACCAATTCATCACAACAAAATAACTACATGGCTACAGTACAATAAAGGTAATCCATCCAATACACCAGTTCCTACCCGGAGTGGTCCATCAAAAATGACTGCAGTAAGTGTTATGTCAAACTCAACTAGTGTACTAGTCTCTAGTAGAGTGATTGGTTTTATATTAGTGGTCTTCAAGCTGGCATGCCATACAACGCAAGTAGTAATGTCAATAATGATATTTGGCAGGCCCAAGTAATTCCTTGTAATTCATCTGGTAGTTTGCTTAGTGGCCAGTCTAATTATGGTACTCCATCATACAAAGCCTATCTGATGATGCCAGAAAATATGCAATTCATGACCATTGTCCGCAATTTGGGTAGGAAGGCCAGAAAGTTGATATTGAAAGTTGTATGCTGAATAATGGTGATTCTCAGTGTACCCAATTGGCTGACTTTTACAATCGTTGTAACCCAATGAACAAGCTTGTTCTTATGCCATAGCTTTAGAAGCAGTGCTGCGTCCAACCGAGAAAGAGAGAGAATGGTGGCCGCCCAATGCCTGATCGTGACTACCATCTTACCCCACCAGTTAATGAGGGGTATGCACGATGATGAGATATATAACAAGTTATACCCAATGCAACCATGGCGTATGAGTTTCAGGGATGCAGTTGAGACGCTTAACCCATGGGAGAAAGAGAGCCAGGAAAAGCATAAAGTTATCCAGCAGTTATTCGTAGCACTGGTAATACTACCATGAAAACCGACAAGAGTAAGACAGAAGACTCAAATTCTGAAATTGCCGAGTAAACTGAGTTAATGAAGCAGGTTGCAAATTATCAAGCTGAGCAAGCCAACAAGATGCAAGTATGAGGCAGAGAATTGATGCAATGATATCCAGACTGAACAGTACACCACATCATGGTAATAAACAACAACATTTTTATGGGAATAATGGTCCAGTTGTTTGCTTCAAATGTGGGAAAGAAGGCCACATCAGTACTTGGTGCTTTGCAGACACAGAAGATGGTGCTGTAAGACAAAATCTTTTAAAAAATTAGAACCTGTGGCTTGAGTGCATGTCACTGGCGCCCACATTAAAGATAGCCCTGCTAAGAATACTTCTGTACACCAGTCTAACTTGCAGCGTGTGCTGGAAAGTGAGTCTATTGTGACTGATACTGATACTCACAGGTAATTGGTCCACTAAATAAAGACATTGTTGTGGTTCATGGCGTTTCTTGTAATTGCACTCTGATTGACACTGGGTCCAAACTTACTACAATAACCGAGTCCTTTGTCTAATAGCATCCAGAACTTTGTCATCAAAAATTGAAACCCAGTAGTGTTGTTATTGAAGGAACATCAGATGAGGTGGTCCCATATTTAGGAGTATTTCTGTCAGTCTTGATTTTCTTGGTCAGTCTTTCAGTGGGGTACCTGCTTTTGTTGTACAGAGGAAGGTTGGTCTGCTTGTATGCACGCATTTAATTAGGTAAAGTCATACACATTTCAGAAACTTGTTGGTAGGTGTTACCTGATTGAAGTGTATGAGGAGCCTGACAGGGATGTCGTTTTTTGGCTTCAAAGTTACAGATTCATGGACTGACTCACGACAAGAATATCTGAACTATTAAGTTTTTCATCAGCATCTGCCAGTAACTGCTCACTATAAAATACATTAGAAGCATAATCTCTAAACTCGGCTAGCACCATAATTGGGACGCCCAATGAATTACTGGATACTTAAACCAGATATATTTGTTGTGATTTCAGGATCTCTTAAAGAATCGTTAAGAAAGTACTGGATTGCAAAACAGTCACTATCAGAATCACTATTACATGGTATCTATTTCATTGATACAGAACCTCAGACACATGGCAACTACTATGGTCATCAAAAGCAACGCTATTTACACAATTTCCTTTTCTCTGCACTGAGAAAAGTTCAGGGCTTTCACATGTGTGTGTGTGCAGTACATATTCTATGGTCTTCTTTACACTAGATAACATACGCTGGAAGATTTGGCTTCTTCAGAACCACTACATATGGCACTAGAGTCTTGTCTTGATAAAGAACTCTATCTCAAGGTTGAGCTCCAGCAATGTATTGTTTGACTTCTTATCATAATTGATCTTTTGTTTTTGCCTTGATAAGTCAGTCTGAGCAATCGCCTCAGCATATGATGACTTCAATCTATGCCGAAGATTGTCATCCTCACAAAGATCAAAAGCTAAATCAATAGGAAGGTGAAGAGCCTGAACAAACATAAGAAAATAGGGGGTATAGACAGTTGCGTCATGGAATTTGCGGTTGTATGCATGTGTCATGGTTCCAAAGTACGCTCATTCAAGTTTGTGGGATGAATCTTGAGTACCAAGCATGTTCGTCAATGTATGGTTGATGCGGTCCGTCATTCCATTTCCTTGGGAATCATAGGGCCAGTTTCAGTGTGTCTGTATTCTTGTAAGTGGGGATACCACAATTTAAGAAGAAATTATTCAACAAAGTCTTAAACCCAGAGCTTGTTTTGGGTCTGTTGTTGCATATGCCTGGGCATATCTTGAAAAGTTATCTCTAACAACCAACATGTTTTCATAACCTCTTTTTGGAACGTTCCAATGATAGATGGTTGATGGAAACCAGTTTAAGTGGTTCTGTGATAAGGATATTGAACAACGGTACTCTGGTTGTAGCAGTGATTGACTTTCTAAGAACACATCTCTTACATGAATTGCATAATTGCTTCATAAAAGATCGCATCATGGGCCAATGAAATTGTGCCACAACTAAATCCATGGTATTATCAAACCTAAAATGAACATTTGAAATATGAAGACCATAATCATCACATCTAAGCTTCTTTGGTAGAAGTAACTGCGCTCTCGGAGTCTCTTCAACATCTTTTCTTGGCATTCTTGACAAGCCATCAGCATTAGCATTGCTTCTGCCTGGGCGGTATGCAATATCAAAGTCAAACTTGGCTAACTGTGATATCCATTGCTGGCAAGGAATCAGTGACAGCAGCTTGACTAATATCCAACCATGGCACAACCTGTTGTATTGTTCTATGGGATGAAACAGGTTTGTGTGCACCATGGGACCACACAAAATGGTAAATTTACTATATGAATGCACCACATGACATGGTAAAGGCACCACATAACACGGCGAATGTACCACACAACACGGTTAATTCACATCACATGAAAGGGTGAATGAACCACGTAATATGATGACTGCACTTTATGACACGCTGGATACATCATATAATATTGTACGACTTAAGATAACTGTGCCATTCCATATATAATGTTTGAAAAACACTGATTTAGTATCAATAATTGGTATCATATTCTGAAACATAACATCGAATCCATAACCCATGGATAACGGTGCATTGTACTTTATTTAACCATGGCTGGCATAAATCAAACAATCGCAATAAAGCGACGGTACACTAGTATAGCATAATAGAGTATACATGCATGTGAAGCACTCATGTGATGCGTCCAAGTACATTGTGGAAGCACTAGTACAAGTTAATTCATAAAGGTAATGTCCATTAAAGTCAATTACAGTAAACTGATTATTATTATGCCATATGTCGTACGTTCACCTCTTGTTTATATTACTAGCGCCACATCATGGCAGGGCCCCATCGTACAAGTATATATACAAGATAATGCACATATGCATAATGTGATATACAGCATAACATGTCACATCATATGGGAGATAATTTGCCATGAATATCATTTAACATTTGTACTACAAGAAGATAGAACTTTGGATATGTATAAATGTTTACAATAATATGAATTATTGGGTTGTGTGAAACATTCAATTAGGATAAAAATTATCATATAGCAATGTAAATAATAAAGACATCCGATGAACTTTATAATATTTAAAAAATATTCAATTTGACTTTGCATACGAATCTAATAACTACAGTGGTATGCACTGGCTCGTTTACAGCCTCGCTTTACCGATAACAATTTTACTGTATGCAGCACTATCTAAGGGGGAATATGTTTTGTTATCAAAATCGTAAAAATAAAGTTTCTGTCTGATTTTCTCCGGATCGAACCCTTCACGAATCAGATCAATTTTTCTGTGCTTAAACGTAGCCGTTGTGTCTATGGTTTCCATGATTCGGAGAAATTTGGGGCATGCGTACAAAGGCAAAGATGATGTGATGTAGTTGTGAAATTCTTGCATGCTGAATGTAGTTTCGTCTTTCACTACTATAGCGGCCATCCCAGCTCGCCCGTCTTGTCCTGGAAAACAATCGATGTATACAGCGGATTAAACTATTTTTTCCCACAAGTCACGTGCCCAATGTCGAGAAAACGTTTTTATGACATCAACTTAGATAGTTGTAAGCAATTATGTTATTGAGGGACTGTGTCTCGACGCGACGTTGCTACACCTGTGTGTAAAGCAAAACATCGCGTAAGTACTGTTTCGAGACCGCTATATTAATTTTGCCTCGATTTAGTTGACTGGTACAGTTTTGCCCTGATGTATCATAATTTCAAAGGCTTCTTAGTATATGATTTGCGAAATATAATAACGAAATACCAGCTTGTTGTAAACATGGGGACGTTAACTATCCTAGAAAAATCGAGTGTTACGTTCCTTTTCGTCATTATACATTCAAGAAAATTACTATAAAGATAGTCTATACATTCAAATAATCGATATTTTCCTAAAATATGG